CAAGAGCAAGTCATTTTGAAATTGTTCTTTTTGTTTGGAGCCACAGAGACTTTTTTATAAACTAAAGTAATGTACGATAGTATGATCTAGATTGGGTGACAGGTTTTCCTTCCTTTATAAAGTAGAAGAAGGCATGCTATAAAAGGGAAAGTGTGAAGGAGAACCAAGACACCTCTACTGTGGAAATGTTATCAGACAAACTGTAGAAAAGAATATAGACAGAAATTAAAATTTTACTTAATCAAGCTCTGAACATTTTCCTGACACCCAGCAGACTTCATATCCCAGTCTGAAGACATATGGGTTGGGTACCTCTAACATATAATTTTAATAATCTGTTATATATTTGCTTCTAATAAGCCATTTACTTTTCTGTGCTGCTACCCTCCAACCAACAGGAAGCTTGGGTGTTTTTGAGGTGTCCAATTGTGAGATTATTATATATTCCAAGACTGATACTTAGTAGAAATAGACGAGACTTATCTTTTAATACTGACAAAAGATTACGATCCAGATTATAAACAACTAGTAACCACTAAAAAGTCAAAGCAATATGAAGTAGACACTGGAACAGAAAAAAGAGGAAAAAGAAAAGAAAAACTTGAGGCAAATAAACATATGAAAAGATGCTTACTCTTATTAATAATCTGGGAAATGCAAATTAAGTAGAAAATCAGATTTATATTCAGTAGATTGGTAAAATTTAAGAATAACCAAGCATTGAGTACAAGGTAGAACAATGAAACACTTTTTTTTTTTTTTTGAGACAAGGTCTTACTCTGTCACCCAGCCTTGAGTGCAGTGGCACAATCATGGATCACTGCAGCCAGGATCCCCCAGGCTCAAGTGATCCTCCCACCTTGGCTTCTTGAGTAGCTGGGACCACAGGTATGCACCACCACATCCAGCTAATTTTTGTATTTTTTGTAGAGACAAGGTTTCACCATGTTGCCCAGGCTGGTCTCAAACTTCTGGACTCAAGCAATCTGCCTGCCTCAGCCTCCCAAAGTGCAAGGACTACAGATGTGAACCACTGCACCTGGCCACAATAACTCATACACTGCTGGGTTAGACTGTAAATTATTGTCACTGTGGCAAAATTTTGTGATGTTGAACATAGTTTACTTTGTAACCTTAAAACATTCTGAATATAAGCCTGTAAGTCCTTAATAATGCCCCCTGCAAAAGAATAGACTAATTTAAAAGAACACCATTCCCACTAACTCTTTTCTCTGGAAACTGGTGATTACAGGGAATAATTAAGGTTTTTTCATTTTTTTTAAGAGAGAGGGTCTCACTCTGTCACCTAGGCTAGAGTGTAGTGCTGTGATCATAGCTCACTGCAGCCTCCATCTCTAGACTCAAGCAATCTTCCCACTTCAGCCTACAGAGTAGCAAAGACTACAGGCACGTGGTTAGCTTATTTTATTTCTTGCTATATTGCCCAGGTTGGTCTCAAACTCTGAGGCTCAAACAATCCTCTTGCCTGGGCCTCCCAAAGTGCTGGGATTATGGGTGTGAGCCACCATGCCTGGTTAAAATAATGAAGTCTTTATAAGTGTTTCCAGGAGAATGAAGTTAGCTGCAGTTAGTGAAGAAAAGGTTATGAAGAAAGCTGACTGATAAATGTTAAGAAGAATGACATTTAAAAAATTATGCTTTTGTTATCCTAAATAAAATAATTTAACATGAAAAGTATCCCCAATGCTACTTTTTTTTTTTTTTTTTTTTTTGGAGACAGGGTCTCACTCTGTTGCCTAGGCTGAAATGCAGTGACAATCATGGTTCACTACATCCTTGACTTCCCAGGCTCAAGTGATTTTCCTACCTTAGTCTCTTGAGTAGCTGGGACTACAGATGCACACCACTACACCTGGCTAATTTCTGGTCTTTTTTTTTTTTTTTTTTTTTTTTTTTTTGGTAGACAGGACTTTACCATGTTGCCTAGACTGGTCTTTTTTTTTTTTTTCCTTAAAGATAGAGACAAGGTTTCACCATGTTGGTCAGGCTGGTCTCGAACTCCTGACCTTGTGATCCACCTGCCTCGGCCTCTCAAAGTGCTGAAATTAGAGGTGTGAGCCACCACACCTGGCCTAGACTGGTCTTGAATTGCTGGCCTCAACTGATCTGCCCACCTCCATCTCCCAAAGTACTGGAATTATAGGTGTGACCTCCTGTGTCTGACCCTCAATAATACTTTTGAGCAGAGTATGCCAAGAGGTGGAAGGTCATAATGAACTGGAAATTCTTACAATGCCAAAGTATACAGAGTACTTACTAGGTGCCAAAAAGGAAAACATAATTTTATAATAATGAAATCTGTCATTACTTCAATCTAGCCACCAATCATGGCATCTCTAATAACAGTGAGACAGACAGATATTATGCATCTTTTAAGATGAATATGAAGTAGATAGTATTACCTATTAAGTATTCTTGCCAGAAATGCTTGTACTTAATTAAATTAAGACTTCACATTATCCTCCAGTTTACAGAAAAGGAAATAATCAGAGGATGAATCCTTCAGATTGGGTATTCTCCATAAAACTGACTTGGTCTCTTCAAGTCAATATATTAAAAAGAAAGATTGGAATAGGTGGTGGTGATCTAATTTTTTTAAAATGTAAGTGAACAACTGAATACAATGCAATCAATGGCAAAGACATTTTTGACACAACTGAGGAAATGTGAACACAGACTGAGTATTAGGCAATATTATGGAATTATAGTTAAGTGGCAAAAGTAATGTGATAAAGGAAGCAAATGACTTTACGGAAATGAATACTGATATACTAAATAGTGAAGTGTCACAATTTCTGAGCTTTACTTAGAAATATTTTGAAAGAAAATAAATATGACAAAACATTAACAATCACTAAATACAGACAATAAGCAATGGATATTTATTATTCTATTTTTCTGAATGTTTGAAAATTTTCCCAGGGGAAAAAAGGCAAATAGAACATGATCTGTAGCTATGAGTAAAATCTATTCTTTCCTTCATAGCTAAGCTTCATAAAAGAAAAATGAAATGCTATGTTGAGGAAGGTTGTTTCTAAGTCAGAACTCAAGATTGAAGAAAATAAAACAACAGAGAGAGGCTAAAGATAGAGGACAGAAGAAATAATTAATGGAGCAAGGACCTGGAAGAGATGGGAATGAATAACATCATGTATTCTGAAGTAGTATAAAGGAATAAAACATGGTATTACAAAAAGAGAAAAAAACCACAGCTAAGTCTAAAGCTGGAAGACAGCAAGTTCAGGAAGTCTGAAAATGATGGTTGAATTAAAACTAAGGTAATCTGCTGAGAGTTAAATATGGTAAAAAGGGGATGGAAACTGGGAAGAATGGTAAGGTTTGCAGTAACCACTGTGAGGAATGAGATAATTAATGAAAGCTAATATAAATATACATGGAAGGCCACTGGAAATATAATTTACTGTCAGCAATCTCAGTAACTATGCAATAACACTTGGCTACATGAATACAGGATACAAAAGGGCAGAGGAAGTACAGTTGTTCATATGAGAAGAAGGCTTTTACACGTCAGTCTAGAGATCTTGATAAAGCAGAATGCAAAGAGCATAAATAAGGAAGTGAAAGAACTAGGGGGCCAGAAATCTGGTAAGTAAACAGGATAACTAAAATTTCAGAAATGGATTGTACATATGACAAGATCTAAAAGGAGAATTAGTTACCAAGAAGGTTGGGAAATCTCATTCTCTATCAAACTTTTAAAGTAAAATAAATTCTCTGCCTGGCTAGTGTGATTTCAATGTGGTTTTACCAAGTGAAAAAAATTGCGATGATTCCTTTTTATCAGTTATAAGGCACAGCAGATTTTTGGTCTATATGATGTCTCCACATGATGGTAGTTATTTAAAACATATCAACATGATGGTGGTTATTTAATACACCAAAAGTAATTCATTAATATAGTTTGTACAATAGGAATACCCATGAAAGTAGTATGTTATATATGTTAATGTAATTTCACATTGCAGTAGAAAAGACACTGCTAACTGCTAGCATAAAGTACTGTTACCATTTTAAAGCATTTTGTACCATAGAAAGTACAGTATCAGAAAAGCTAACTATGACCTAAGGCTAAGAATTAAGTACTGGAAGCTAGAGAAATAACAGCTATTATTTTAATTAATACTCTTAATCTGATTCAAAAATAAAACTAATGAACCAAGACTGTTTATTTTGAACTTTTATGACACACATACCAACAAAATCTTCATTAGAAAGTAGCACAATAAATAAAATTTGGCCAGGTGCAGCAGCCACACCCACAATCCCAACATTTAGGAGGCTGAGGTGGGAGAATCGCTTGAGCCCAGGAGTTTGAGACCAGCCTGGGCAACATAGTGAGACCCTGTCTCTACAAAAAATTTTTAAAAATTAGCCAGGCATGGTGGTGTGCGCCTGTAGTACAACTGTACTTTAGTAGAAAGAGTGTACCTCCTGTACTCAGGAAGCTGATATGGGAGAATCACTTGAGCCCAGGATTTTAAGGCTGCAGTGAGCCATGATCACACCACTATACTCCAGCCTGGTTGACAGAGCCAAAGCTTGTCTCTAAAATAAATAAATAAATGTTTAAGTTCTCAATCCATACCTCATGTCTATCTTGCTGGTTATGCTAATTTTGAACTTAAGTGACACTTTGGGGTCTAACTAAGAGGAAAAGAATGTCAATGAATGGGACCATACTAGAAAAGTTTTTTTAAAAAAATAACCGCATCCTCAAATATGTATATCCATTCCAGACTCCTAATTCCAGTCAATGTGGAAAAGGAGGAAAGTTTTAAAGGTAGTACATGCTAGTCTCATATACCACTATTAGAGGTAGCACGTTCTATCATTAGCTTTATGTTACATTGAAACCAATACTACCAAAGAAAATAATATAGTTCTATAACCTAAGGAGGAAAACTGTAGAATGTTTTGTCACTTCCACTGAATTTCCAAAAAATATATAAAATACTTACTTTTTCATTTTTTTTGAGTTGTATTTGACTTGGTAAGCTGCTTGGATTAATTTGTCTGGGACTCCATCAAACTGATGTGGAATGACCTTTTGAAAGTGCTAAGATACAATAAAAGAAAAACATAAGAATGATTTAGTGCTATTAATAGTGAAATCCAAAGGCACTAAAGAAATTATGGACTGGGCACGATGGCTCATGCTTGTAATCTCAGCACTTTGGGAGGCCAAGGTGGGCAGATCACTTGAAGTCAGGAGCTTGAGACCAGCCTGGCCAACATGGTGAAACCCTGTCTCTACTAAAACCACAAAAATTAGCCGGGCATGGTGGTGCACATTTGTAATTCCAACTACACAGGATGTTCAGGTTGGGGGAGGATCGCTTGCACCTGGGAGATGGAGGTTGCAGTGAGTCGAGATCATGCCACGGCACTCCAGCCTGGGCTACATAGTGAAACTCCATCTCAAAAAAAAAGAAAGAAAGAATTATGAACTTACCTGTAACATCCCTTCCATGTCAAGTTGCATCAGTTCTGCCTGATTCATTTGAAGAAGTGCTAATCCTACTCGAAACACTATTTCTAAACCCTGAGGAAACAAGGAAACAAATTAAATAAATCCAAATTTATCTTACTCTTCCATCAACAAAAACAAGTCACTTCAAATAATACTAAGGTAAACATTTAGGAATCTAAACTAGAGGCTGGCAAACATTTTTTAAAGAGTCGGAGAGTAAATATTTCCGGTTTGGTGGGCTACACTGTCTGTCAAAATTACTCAGCTCTCCCACTACAAACTCAAAGCAGACATATACAACATGTAAATATGTGGTCAGCACTGTGTTCCAGGAAAACTTTATTTAAAAACAAATCAACCAACCAAAAAAAACAGGCGTGAAAAGACAGATTTGGCACAAAAATCTGTCCATCTGATTGGTACATGAATCATACTTGGCCAACTCTGATCTGAACTAATTTAGACAGGTACTACAAATTGATTTTCCCAAGATGTAATTAATAACAACTAATATTGAGTTCACAGACTAGAAAACAAAGGATTACTACTATGTGCTGCTGGCAAAAGGACAACAACCTGCAACGTGTTCATAAAATAGAAGAAACACGCTTACTATGTCTTTTCTCTTTGGATAACAGATGCATTGCAACAATATTAACTGTAAGACAAATTTTACCTCTAACTTTCACTGTATGAGTTAGGAGGTGATAAAGAAGTATGATTAACAGTGTAGGCTCCGAACTGCCTGTTTGAATCCTGGTTACAACATCACTTATGTATTGTGTGTTCACCGACAAGCTACTTAACCTTTCTCTAAGTCTCAGCTTCCTTATCTATCATCTAACAAATAGAATAAAAACAGTATCTACCTGATAGGGTTATTAAAAGGTTTAAATGAGATTATCCATGTAAGCACTTTTGCATGGGACACATGGCTTTCCTTCATTGCTCTCTTTGTTGCCCTGCTCTCACAAACTCAATGACCCCTTTGCTCAGCTCCTGCTTCTTGTCTCTCCATTAGCTTACCTCAGACATAAAAATATCAAATATTCTCGTGGCAATTGGTAGTGGAAAAGTTGTAAGAAAGATAGTCAGAAACCAGGATGATGCATACATTGAGGTATGAAAACTCTGAGATTGAAAATGTACAAAGAGCTCTGGAAGATGCTCCTAAAGAGAAGAAAATAATTAGTTAAAACATAGTACAATTGAGCATTTTAAATTAGATCATTATATTTATACTAGATTAGCCTATACCAAACATAAAGATTAGAACAAGCATCATATGAAAAGGTAAGATGTAGAAATTGAAACATTCAGACATGTGAGGTTCAAATTTTGAATATAACATTTATTAATAAAAAGAAACGGAAATAAAAGTTTTATATTTGTTTAATCCTGTTGGATACATGGATGACTAATATTTTCTATACTTTCCTATCAACTATAATATTAAAAAAAATTTAAAAAGGAAAGAAACTGTATGTTAAAATACTTTCAGGCACTATCTACCACTGATCACCTATTCTTACCTTCCTAAAGAATAGGAAAAATATTCAAAATACAGCTGTTTCAGCAACTCTAGTAATTCAAAACATAAATGAGACTTTTTTTTTTTTTGAGACAGGGTCTCACTCTGTCACCCAGGCTAGGGTACAATGGCACGATCTTGGCTCACTGCAACCTCTGCCTCCCAAGCTCAAGCAATACTCTGATCTCAGCCTCCTAGGCAGCCTGGACTACAGGTGCACACCACCATGTGCAGCTAATTTTAAAATTTTTAGTAGAGACAAGGTTTTGCCATGTTGTCCAAGCTGGTCTCAAACTCCTGGACTCAAGCAATCTATCCACCTCAGTCTCCTAAAATGCTGGGATTACAGGCATGAGCCACTGCGTCTGGCCATAAATGACATACATTAATTGAAAATATAACACCAAGAGAGTTTAAGGCTGCTAAAAACAAGCTTACTATTTCAGGAAAAGAGTTAATTAAGAATCATCTCAAGTCCAGGCACAGTGGCACATGCCTGTAATCCCAGCACCTTGGGAGGCTGAGGTGGGAGGATCACTTGAGCCCAGAAGTTCAACACCAATCTGGGCAACATAGTGAGACCCCGTCTCTACAAAAAATGTTAAAAATAAAAATTAAAAAATAATAAAAAATTAGTCAGGTGCAGTGGTGTACACCCATAGTTTCAATTACACAGGAGGCTGAGGCAGGAGGATCACTTCAGCCCAGGAGGTCAAGGTGGCAGTGAACCATGATTGTGTCATTGTAGTTTAGCCTGGGTGACAAAGCTAGAATAGACTGTGTCTCCGAAGAAATAAATAAATAAATAAATAAATAAACCTCAAGACCTATTCTGGCTTTTTATTTAAAATACATAAAAACAAAAAATATGTACCCCATAATGCACAATTATTGCATGTCAATTAAAAAATAAAAATAAAATGTAAGAACATTTTACATATCCCCTTGCTCCCATCACAGATGGAAAAACAGGAGTTTATAAGGCTGCCAGGAGAGAGGAAACTAATAAAAATGGCTCTCATGCCAGCTGAATCATTAACCTATTTTTTACAATTCTGCTCATTTAATTGAAACTGGAATGTAAATGAAATTGAAATTTAAATAAATGAAAATACTTACACTACAGCAAACTTATTTAAATATATAAAATATAAAAATTAAATTCCAGAAAGGTAAAATATTTCAAAGGTATTTTTCCCTTGATTTTGATTCTGCTCCTATTCTCTCCATTTTCATACAGTCACTAGATATCTTGTCTTTAATTAGCAACATAAGAAGAAAACATTATAGGAAAAAAAATTACAGGCTAGCAAAAAAGTAAGATAAAAGTAAAAAGGCGGGGGTGAGGACTCAAAGAGACAAGACAGTCTCAAAGTAAATGGATTGATGTCAGTGTGATAATATCATAAAGCTCCTGTAAAAGAGCTTAGACTATGTAACAATAACAGGATATAATAAGAAAGTTCATGTGCTTAGGTAAAGGGTTTATAGTACATTTGGCAGAAATGCTTAAGGTTTGAATACAAAAACTGGAGTCAAGTTCTAGACCGTGATCTACCTAAAGGTAGCACTTCACTTGAAAGTTGGTCAAACTGTATGTCAACCAACCAAAAATCGATCATGTAATTAAAACATTTATTTCTTTAAGCGCTTTAATGCTTTTAACATTAAATTTGCTTAGTTGGCACTCAGAACAAGATAAGAAAAAATATAAAGGCAACATGTCTTTTGATCAATACTGCACGTTTACCTGTATCATACATTCAAACTGATACATACAAAGGCCCAATTCTGCCATACTTGGTTTAAAAAGTTCACGAAGTCTATAGTCTTGCATTAATTTAACAAATACACAGAAAGCTTCTTCTTCTGGCATCTACATTGGAAGAAAAATAACAACATAGGTTAATGTTCTACGATACTCAAATAAACCAAATGATACTTAAACCAAGTACCCAGCCAACCATAAACACTGAGTGGCTGTGTATTGCAATGTTAAGAGCAATGAGCTAAGAATCAGAAAGTTCTAGTAGTCTCCCATTCCATCACCAGGAATGAGAAGTTGGACAAATCTTACAACCTCTGAAACCAACTGCCTCAACTTGCCTCATTCATTAATTCAACCAACAAATAATGATTTATAATCAGATACTTTTCTCTCTCTGGTATACACCAGTGAACAAAATAAACATATTATCTATTCTCAAGGAACCTGAACTTTCTAATGGAGGGAGACAGACAAGACATGGAATAAATCAACTAATATATATGTCAGATGGTGATGGGTGCTATAGAAATAAAGTAGGGTAATAGGGAATACTGGCAAGACACATGGCTATTGATGCAGATCAGGAAAGGTCCCCTGATATGGTAACAGCTAGGCAGAATTCTGAAGAAAGCAAGGGAGCATCTGAGGAAAGAACAGTTCCAGAAGACCAAAGAGTACAAAAGCCCTGAAATGGAATCACACTTGGCATGCTCAAGAAACAGCAAATAGAGAACTATTAAATTAGTATATAATGAGTGAAGGTTATACCATGGAGGGAAGTAACAGGGAACCAAAATGCAGAGGGCTGTAGAGGGCATTGTAAGGATTTTGAGTTTCACCTTAAGTAAGAGAGGAGGTTTTTTGAGGATTCTGAGCAAAAAATCCTATGACGTGGCACAAGCAATAAAAGAACATGTAAATTAAGTTATCACATTATCTGAAATTGGGGTTTAAAGGTACCAATTTCACATGTTTATGTGTAAATCATTAGGAAATCATATCAAATAAGATAATGAATGTGAAAGCTCTGTAACGAGCTACAAAGATATTCAGAATACTTAGGCAAATAACTATCCAAATTGTTAAGCCATCTTTCTCAAAATAATAAAATCTGCTAATTCTCATTCAATCTCATTATACCAGTGTGCTTCAAAAGAGAACACCCCAAAGGATCTCCAGGCCTTATTCTTACTGAAGACTGCTGCTAATAACAAGACATTTTCCCTGGCCTTGACACAGCCACCGACAGGAGCCAAGAGTTACTCTTGGCAAAACCTGCTCTTCCTTCCTCCCAACACAAATGGCCACAATTCTACTTTGGAGACTATCTCTATTAATTCTATCAACCCCCACAGCCCCACTGAATTATTTCAGTAACTACGAGAAGCCCCAAATCCCAGGACTCTCATCGTATATGATTTTACTGTTCCCCTAATCTGACCCCATTTCCAATCTTTCCTCAATCTTTTCCACAGCATTTTCTGGAACCCACATCCTGCCATCAACAAAATAGTCTACCTATACCCTCAATCTTTTTTCCAAATGTTCCTCTCTTCCTTTAGCTGAAATCTAGATCTGTCCTAAGAATATGTCAACACTGAAAGGTGGCTCTCCCCTAAGGCAGTTGTTTTCTTTCCCACAGCATGGAAGGGGACAGAGATTACTGAGGCCTATGTCCTTAGGCGATTTCATCATTGTGCAAACATCATAGAGTGCACCTACACAAACCTGTATCGCATAGCTTACTATACACCTAGGCTATATGCTATACAGCCTATTGCTCCTAGGCTACAAATCTGTACAGCATGTTACTACACTGAATTGTGCAGGCCAACTGTAACATGATGGCATATATTTGTGTATCTAAACATAGAAAAAGTAAAGTAAAAATAGGGTACTATAATCTTATGGGTGCACCATCACACATGTAGTCCACTGTTGACCGAAATGTCATTATGCAGTACATAATTATAATTTCCCTTTTTGTCTTACAACAATTTTTTCTCTTTTGAACATATTAAAAGAAGTTTCATTCCCTCTCCTCTTTGCAATAACATTGATAAGGGAACTAGGAGAGCATTTTTTAATGGCAACATTTTAAAAAATAAGTTGAGGTAATTTGAAGAAAGAGGAAAAGAAGACAGAAAAAGTATCACTAGATCCGTCTCAAAAAACCTGAAACCATGGTGGCAAAATGAAAACATGTGACACAGAGTGGCATATACCAAGTTGCCTTATAGTCATTCCTTTCCATTAGAAAGAAATCAAGACACTTGAGTCCTAAAGCAATGTGGTGTACATACTTTCTCTGTGACTCTGAGCTGATAAGAATCCGTGTCTTTTGCAAAGGTCTAATGCAGGCGATATACCAAATTTTTTAGGAGTAAGATATACACAAAACATACATATCTAGCACTTTTAACCATTTTGATAAAATATATACTAACTTTACAAATTTTATCAGACTCTCTGAGTTACATTTCTAAACTAAAGTTATGGGAGACAATATAGCATAAGGAATAAGAGCATAAACTTTTCAAACAAAAAGACGAGCTTTTCTACCTTATGGCCCTGGGACATAAGTGATCATCATTGTTGTGTTGGTATATTGCTGACACTGACAACAGCTAAGTCAATCAATCACCAAAATATCACTTATTACTCCAATTATGGTAATAATACTTATTGAAGTTAGTATCTCTACGACCATTGCTTGCCCTGTTTTGAAGGAAACTGTGATTCCTAGAGGATTCCCAGGATTCAAAAGACTCCTAGAAAGTTAGGTCAGTTGTTGAGAGATTGAGACCTCAAGCAGGAAAAAACTGCTCTTCAGATGTCCAAGAGAAACGACTACTAAAAAGTTACTGTGGAGCTAACAGGAAAATAAAAGGAACAGAACCACAGCAAAAAGCACTAGACTGATAATAAGGTATCTCAGTGTGATAATGAAAGGTCTACCAATACTAAACAATTATAAATTAGGAAAATCATAATTTTCAATTAGCAATAATCGCGCCTTGGATAAACCTCATTGGCTACGAAACTGCCACTGCACAAAGCTGAAAAATCATAATTCTGTTAAACAACTATCTTAACATTAACAAATCTAGTTTTGTATTGTATTATTTATAACATAATTCCACTCAGAAATCGATAACCACTGGGAGCCTTCTTATGTGTTCTTACATATGCTGTAACACAAAGTAAAAATTATTTTTATTATAAACCAGTGTCTCTGACATCAGGTTTATTCTACTCAAAAAACAGGTATGTGTATACTCCTGACAGCAACAGAGCTTCAAAACTCAGAGCAGTTGGGAAGTGGAAGCAAAGCATCAGGAAACGGTTTCTGATTCCTACTCTGCTTTTATCTACCAGGATGTGTGATCTTGGGCAAGTCAATGAACTTTCACTGCATTTCTCCTATGTGCCAAACACCATGCTAGGCTTCTACATAACATTACCTCAAATGACCTCCAATAATGAGGAGCAATCTTTTTCTAACCAAGGAGAGAGTAATTACAGTGTTGGTAAGAAAATCTTTTTTATATTGTACAACATCTTTAGAAATTTACAGAGAATGTAATTGATCATGGAGCTAAAGGTTTGTTTTGTATACCTCACTGTATGCTCTAAAATAGTGGCACTCAGCCACTTTTACTCCCTCAAGGATATAACTTTGTTACTTTCAGTAACAACAACAAAAAAACTTGTTTTTGCAATTGGTTTGGGTGGGATGTTTTCAGAATTCAGGGGCAGGATAATCATAGTTTTGAAGGGAACTAATCACAACTAATCTGAAAGTAGATAGTATTATCTTATTAAGGCTCAGAGAGAGGTTAAATAATCTACTCTAAATTCATACAGCATGTGCAGAACTGAGTTGCAAAACCATCCTATATGACTCAAACCAAGTCATCTCCATGATTCCTTTTCAGGACTAAAATCTGAGACTAAATAAAAAGTAAGATGGACTTAACATTTCAACAAAGTCTAAGAGATAATACGATATGCCATTTCCCTTCAAAGCTATGATTATCCTATGCATGAATTCTGAAAACATCCCACCCAAACCCACTGCAAAACTACTCAGTAACAAAGTTATATCCTTGAGGGAGCAAAAGTGGCTATTTTAGAGCATGCAGCAAGGTATAACAAGCCTTTAGCTCCATGATCAATTAAATTCTCTATAAACTTCTAACGATGTTATACAATATAAGTAAGATTTTCTTACCAATACTTTAATTATTCCCACCTTGGTTAGAAAAAGATTAGTCCTCATTAAGTGTTGACAAGTAAGATTTTAAAATACTGTAGATACAAACTTTAGACTATTATAATAAAAATGTATATATCACAAAGTTGAAATTTCATTTGGTAGTAAGATATTATGGTATGTTATTTTAACACATTTGCCCTTTTAAAGTGCCAACTAAATATTTCTTTGAATTATGCCTAGAAAAAAATGCCCAATATCCACTTATATCTAATAAAAACAAAGATGCTTTTTAACTCTCCAATCTAACTTTAATAAAGAATTTCATTGGACATTTAATAATTAGATTAACTTACCTGCATAAGCAACAATCCAACTATAAAAGCACTTCCTTGACAGTAACCAACCTCACGATCCACTAAAGAATAAGCCTAAAAAGTAAAAAAATGTTCAAAATACACGGTAAGTTACACCTTCCTTGACCATTTGTTTTTTTAGAAAAGCTCTTCCTTGCTTGTTATAGATGTTATCCTATACATATTTAAAAAGCAAATGTTTTATTACATGAAATTTTGTTTTGACAATTTCCCAGTTCAAACTTGGTAGCTCCTGAAGACAATAAAATAAAGGAATTTGTACTCAGGAAGGTGATAGGGCTTAAAAATCATATAACATTTATATTGATGTGGATAAAACTAGACTAGGTTTAAGGCAAAGGATTGGCGAAATGAAATGATTAATTAAACAAGAATCAGTATTTCACAGAGACAGCTGAAAGAGAATGTAACCGTGGGAAGGGAAATGGCAATATTGAAGAAAAAATGACAACGGTACACCTTTCAAGGACTAAGTTCTCTTAACAATGCTGGTCACAGCAAGGAGAAAAATTTGCTGTGAACTCAGATCTGCCAGGAGAAACCCACATCCCAGGTTCTGAACTTCACGGATGGTGAACTATCCATTTTCATGAGGAGCCCTCTATGGTATGTAATTTATAAGCTATCACATTTCTATCAACTAATGCTGAATAATGTAGTAAATGTTCTAACAAGTCCTCTACATTAGACAGTAATGTAGCATCAGAATTAAGGCAAAAATAATGCTAAAACTGATTTTATTGCCAAAGCAACTGATTACTGTGGTGGGAGGTCATGCTTCATCATGAAAAATGTGTGCTTTCAACCTTTCAGGAATTCATTTCATTTCAAAATATGAATAAATAAAACTGAATAAAAATAAATAAATGAAACTTACCTTCATTACATTAAATAAAACCTCCTGTCCAAGGCTGTCTTTTTCCTTAAAAAAATTGTGCTCAGGATAAGTTCTAGCAATGTCCCTTCGGATCAATTTTTCACAAGGTGAAGTCATTTTCAGTAGTTCTGAATACTGATCCTTAATTGGCATACTTTGTGCACTGCATAAAAGTTGCCAAACTATTGCTCTAAAGTGATGAGGTATCCCTTTATGGACAAGTTCCTAAAAATACAATAAAAATTTTTAAATGAATTATTTAAGCCTATCTTGCAAGCAAAGAAGACTTATTAGGGGGTTGGAATGAAGTGGAAGACTTCATTAAATTTGTAACTCACAAAACTAGCTTTATAATACGACTAGGGAACCCAGGGTAAGATTGGGCCCTGGGTGTATCCTGTTCTGGTCAGAGGATTAATAATGGTCATTTCACCTCAGTGTGTGGCCTCTTAAGGTAATGGACCTGAAAACTGCAAAGCAGTGAATGATGGTACAGTACCCATCATTCAAAGGGCTACTGAAGGCAAAAAAAGTAAAATACTGTAATTCAAGAATTCAGGCTATTACAACTTCATTTCTGAACCTATATAACTAGAGAATTTAATTTCTAAAACAATTTTCAGGCTGGGCATGGTAGCTTACAACACTTTGGGAGGCTGAGGCAGGAAGACTGCTTGAGGTCAGGAGTTTGAGACCAGCCTGGGCAACAAAGTAAGACCCCATCGCTACAAAAAAGTGAAAATAAAAAATTAGCCAGGTGTGGTGGCACACACCTGTGGTCACAGTTACTCGGGACCCTGAGGCAGGAGAACAGCTTGAGCCCATAAATTCGAAGTTATAGTGAGCTATGATTGCACCACTGCACTCCAGCCTGAGCGACAAAGTAAATCTCTATAATAAGTAAATAATTTTCAGCTGTATATTATATATTTCTACATTATCAGGACCTCTGTAACAACTGATGTCTTCAAATTAAAATTTCTAGGGGTGAAAGTAAGTGAAAACAAATAAAGCAGACCTCTTTAATATATGGCTTGAAAGTTGTCAGAATTGGGGTTTTTTTCCCTAATACTCTATTAACTTATGCCAGATGCACTTTGGAATAAGAACGTCAACAAAGAACATGAATACCTTAACTTGTTTTTCCTTTTTTTTGCGTACATCTTCCCATTCATTAACAATTCTTCCCCAAAGAATCCAAGAATCTTCTTCAAGGTGACTGAGGTTGCTAGAGGCTGATGAACTTGACACAAGAGAAGAGCCACTGTTTCTTCTTGACCCATTTACAGATTTTAAAGATTTACTATCCGTTTCTAACAATCTAAAACATAATTAAAAATTGTTCAAGATCTAATCTAACAGTGATATTAGAAGAGGCAGTGATGATACTTAGAGCTTTATTACTGTAATTTAGCCATTGTTTTAAAATATAGTTTTAATAATATACATAATTTAAATAAATTTTGGTGGGCCTCAATAAAATTACTGCTATATTTTTTCACCTATCACAGTTTGAAAATTTGAAAAGCAAATTAAGTTAAATATTTTTTAGTTACTAGCCCCATTATAATCCCCCTTCATCTCCATTAAAATTTCAAATTGGGGGATATCTGATAAGAAAAGTAGATGGGTAGGCTTCAGGAAAAAAGAACTTACACTTGGAAGAGATACAATAAATCTACGAAATAACTAATCCTAAAATGTCTGCAATATGTCCAAGGCTTAAAAGTAAGGCAGAGCCCCCAAAATTAACCAAATCACTTGTCTTTTTTCATTTTGCTTCACACATGCAGAACTAATCTGCCCAAACAAAAAGTATTTATGTGGCCCATGCAGTGTTTGTGTAAAAAACTGAGCTATTACTAATACATCAAAATTGGAGGATTTCATGTATTTGCTTATATGCATTTATACTTCATTTATAATTCTAGATTCTCCTGAAAAATAAAAACATAAAACCAGTCTACACTCCTGCACAGTAATAACAGGATACAGCTGCGAGGGAGCTTCTTCCTTCAAATGCAGGACTTCAATCTGATCAATTTCCATAATCCCTATAGTCTTGCCTAAAACTCAGACTGGCTAACAGCTGCTATTTATTACTGGGCTTACACTGTTAAACTATTACTGGGCTTACACTGTTAAACTGGGACCTCTTCACTCATTAAATCCCTGTTGACTTTTGAGCTTGCAACCCTGTATTAGGCCTCCTCCTTATCTGATGAAAGATGGGTTAAGATAATTTCCAAGAGCCAATCCATGACTAATCACAACATTAAGTCTTTTATTTCTTTCACATATGCACCAGCTATAAAGGAAGTTTGGAAAATGTAGCTCTATCACTATTTAAGATAGCTACGACTCACTTCCAGTAATTCTTCCGGGAAAAGTCGTTTGCTTAGGGTACAACAAATGTTAACAATACTAATTCATCAAATACAAAAGCTGAGAAGAAAAGAAACATACAGAGGTTGAATCCTATTTAGCAGATTCTTAGAAGCACCCTTTGAGACCCAGATTTATATGTGACACCTCTTTATATCCCTTAGAACATTTAGTTCAATGCAAAGTATATTAACTATCAAAATAAAATAAAATTGTAAGTCCAAAATTTTAAAATTCCAAATTCCAGGTATGTCATATTCAGTAACACAACAGTATAAACTGAACAAACAAATTCTATCCCTATTGAGGGAAAATTTAACATATTTTCATGGCAACAATAATTAAAATAAAATTTCCCAAATATTGCTAAAAACATACCAAACAGCCAAAGTAGCATCAACTAATTACTATAAATAATTTTACTTGAGCAAAAGAATTTATTTGGAACAAGGTTCCTGAGGAAAAAGAAAAAGATAAAAAAAGAATTAATGATGATGTTTTACTTTAAATAATGTTTTTAAATACATATTATTTCAGTAAGTCCATAATATATCTTTTGGAAAAATAAGGTTACCTAAGTAATTTTCCATATCGTTCTAAATCCTAAGAATTGTAGATAGAATAGAGAAACAAAATTTTACTCAAATAATCTAAATCTTAGTTCTTTACTTCACTTATTTACTGAATGCTTGCCACATCTCAATTAAATTGCATCACTATCAACAGAGATATGTGGTTCAGAGAAAGTAACAGCATTTCCCAAGTTAAACCTAAGTTTGAGGTGTAATGCAAGTCTAGATGAAGAAGCGCCTAAACAGAAGGTTTTTAGAGAATCAAAAAGTCTTGGATTGCTGAGTTATTAATACAACTTCTAGGATGGGCAAGAATATTAAGTGAATTCATAGCATTCGTGGGTTAGAGAAGATTAAGTGGTCAACCTTCCAAGAATACGGAAATAGCACATCCAATTATACAAAGCTGTGAAGAACGTTTACAAATAAAACATCTCAAGACATTACACAATTTAAAGATACTGTCCCTGCTTTATCTCATATCATATGTAAAAATGATTTAAAGTGAATAAGCCTAAATGTAACAAAACTATAAAACTCCTAAAAACAAAATACAGGAAAACCTCTTCAGAACCTTTGGTGTAGGTAAAAATTTGTTTACAGGACATAAAGAAATAGTAACCATAAAAGAAAAGATTAGAAAACTGGACTTCACCAAAATTAAAGAGCTGTGCTCCTCAAAAGATACTATTTTAAAAAATGAAAAGGCAAGTAGACCAGAGACTAAGGAAAAAAAAGTCTCAATACAGGTATCTGACAAAAGATTAGTATACAGAATATATGAGCCACCCTTAAGGTCAACAACTAAGAAGCCAAACACCACATTTTAAAAAATGACTAAGAGATGTAAACTGATACTTTCCAAAAAAGATAATCAAATAGCCAATAAGTACTTGAAAAATGTTTAACATCTTTAATTATCATGGGAAATGCAAGTTAAAACCAAACTACATACATATTAGAATGGTTACAATTCTAAAGACTGACCATACCAAATGTTGGCCAGGATGGAAGCAACTGTAACTCATATCAAAATTAAAAGTATAAAATAGTATAACACATTTCAGAACTGTCTGATAATTCCTCATAAAGTGAAAATACATTTCCATGTGGTTTAACAAATTAAATGAAAACATATGTACAAAGATATAGTTGAAAGTTCATAGCAGCTTTATTCACAATAGCCCAAAACCAGGTACAATCCAAATGTTCAGAAAAATAAGTGATGAAATTATGGTACATTAATTCACTGTGATACTATTCAGCAATAAAAAGAAAGAAACTACTGACACAGGCATCAACATGGATGAATCTTATAGATGTTAGGTAGAATAAAAGAAGCCAGGTGAAAAAGGGTACATACAATATGATTCCATCTATATAAATTTCAAGAACAAGCATAATATAGAAGAAAATACAGGAATAAATCTTGATGACTTTGAGTTAGGTAAAGCCTTCTTAAATATGATCAAAAGCACATGTGACAAAAGAAAAAACAGACACACTGGAATTCATAAAATAAAAACATTTTGTACTTTACTGCCTACCACCAAGAAAGTGGAAAGACAATCTACAGAATGGGAGAAAAGTACTTGCAAATCATAAGGGACTTGTATCTAGAATTTCTAGAGAACCCTTACAAATCAATAATAATGCGATTTAAAAATGAACGAAAGATCTGAATAGACATTTTTTCCAAAGAAAATGGCCAATAACTAGGTAAGAAGATATTCAACATCACTAGTCATCAAGAAAAAGCAAACTGAAAACACAATGAGATACTTTACAACCATTAGGTTAGTTACAATCAAGATGACCAATAACAAAAGTGTTTGTGAGAATATAAAGACAATGGAACTCTCATACACAACTTGTGGGAATGTAAAATGGTACGAGCACTTCAGCCTGACAGTTCCTCAAATGATAAGCACAGAACTACCATGACTCAGTAATCCCACTCCTAGGTACATACACAAAAGAAATGAAAATTTATATCCATCAAAAACTTATACGCGAATGTTCATAGAAACATTATTCATGATGCAAAAAAAAAGAAAGTAAAATCCAGGCTGGGCACAGTGGCTCACGCCTGTAATCCCAGCACTTTGGGAGGCCGAGGCGGGCAGATCACAAGGTCAAGAGATCGAGACCATCTTGGCCAACGTGGTGAAACCCCGTTTCTATTAAAAAAAAAAATACAAAAATTAGCTGGGCATGGTGGCGTGGACCTGTAGTCCCAACAACTCGGGAGGCTGAAGCAGGAGAATCGCTTGAACCCAGGAGGCGGAGGTTGCAGTGAGCTGAGACCACGCCACTGCACTCCAGCCTGGCGCCTGGCGACAAAGCAAGACTCTGTCTCAAAAAAAACAAAAACAAAACAACAACAACAAAAATTAGCAGGGTGTGGTGGTGTGCACCTGTAGTCCCAGCTACTCAGAAGGCTGAGGCAGGAGAATTACTTGAACCCAGGAGGCGGAGACTGCAGTGAGCCAAGGTTGTGCCACTGTACTCCAGCGTGGGGCCTGGTGACAGAGCAAGACTCTGTCTCAAAAAAAAAAAAAAAAATCCAAATGTCCATAACTGATGAGTGAATAAACAACATATGGTATACCCAAACAATGGAATACTATACAGCCATGAGAAGGAATGATGTTCTGATACATGCTATGACATCAATGAACCTTGAAAACATTATACTAAGTTAATGAAGCCAGTCACAAAAGGGCACATATGACATGAATACATTTACATGAAATATCTAGAATAAAGAAAATAGATCAGCAGCTGCTAAGGACTGTAGTAGGGGTAGAGGTAGTCAGGGAAACATGGGCTGCTAATGAGTGTGCAGTTTCTTTTTGGAGTGATGAAAAAAATTCGCAAATTGATTGTGTTGACAATTGCCCAATTCTGTGAGTAAACAAAACACAATTGAACTGTACACTTTAAGTGGGTTAATTAAATATATGGTATATAAATATCCGAACAAAGCCATTATTCAAAAAAGGACAAGTAGAAGAGAAGTTTTGACAGAGGGCGGAGTTGCTAGAAAGGACACAAAGGAAATTTCTGAGATGATGGACATTTGCAAAGATGACAGAAACTTTCTAAGTCTTAATAGGTTTGTGGATTATACACAGGTATAAACACTTGTTGAAACTCAAACCCTACACTTAAGAACTACACATTTCTCAGCCAGGTGTGGTGGCTCATGCCTGTAATCCCAGTACTTAGGGAGGCCAAGGCAGGCAGATCACAAAGTCAGAAGATTGAGACCATCTTGGCTAACATGGTGAAACCCCATCTCTACTAAAAATACAAAAAATTAGCCAGGTATGGTGGCACTCTCCTGTAGTCTCAGCTACTAGGGAGGCTGAGGCAGGAGAATCACTTGAACCTGGGAGGCAGAGGTTGCAGTGAGCTGAGATCATACCACTACAGTCCAGCCTGGCAACAGAGGGAGATTCCATCTCAGGGTGTTAAAAAAAAAAAAAAAAACTACACATTTCTCTGCATATTATTCATCAGTTTTTATCACTTCATCAATATTTGTAAAAAATATTATCATTTAATGGCATTAGAGATAGTAAAGATTCAGTGAGAATCGACTGTACTTTATTATTGTAAGCTCTTCTGAACTTTTTTAAAACCATAACTACTACTTTTTATAAAAGATTATTTTGGATATCTTTTATGAATAAAAGAAGATATACGCATTACTTCATATTTGCCTTTTCAAATTTCCTAGTCATTCAGCAAATTTTAAAATTCTCTAAAGAAAAACTTTAGAATTTTTATAATGAAGAAGCCCTTCCATGTGAGAGTCGGAACATTTTGCAGAAGCAGTAATACTTGAATTGATACTGAAGTCTCTCCTCAGTGAACTACTCAGTAGTAGCACGTAGAAAAATAATTAACTTGTTCCTTAAGAATATGTAAACTTTAGAGACTATGTAGTTAGAATAAAGCATTTTTATTCCTTATTGCTAAATGTGATGATGAACAACTCAACTCAGGAAGGCTTTTAAACAGGTTTCCACCTAGTTTCAGTATAATTAAGATATTCTGACCTGGTGGGGGAGGGACGCACTGCCTAAAACTCAACAATTTACAAAGCCTTGAGCTTGGGAGCTGGGAAAATGGTAATACAGCATTGCTTATAGGTCTGTAGGCTAGTGAGAAGTATATCTAAAACTTTTTGATATATTTTCCTCCTCTCAGATCACATGGGTTCACTGTCTTACCTGGAGTTATTGCAAAGCAAAAAAAAAAAAAAAAATTAGGAGGCCGAGGGGGGTGGATTGCCTGAGTCCAGGAATTTGAGGCCAAACTAGGCAACATGGCGAAACCCCATCTCTACAAAAATTCAAAAAATTCACCAGGCATGGTAGTGCACACTGTAGTCCCAGATACTCAGGAGGCTTTGGTGGGAGAATCACCTGAGTCCTGGAATTCGAGGCTGCAGTGTGCCATGATCGCACCACTGCACTCTAGCCTAGGTGACAGAGTGAGATCTTGTCTCAAAAAAAACGGGTGGAGTGAAGTGGGGGAATAATTCACCTCACTTGCCACCCCATCCCATCATAATCTCCTTCTAACACAAGAATTCTAACACAGATTGAAGAAAAAGAATACTGTCCAAGCAGGAGTATTTGTACACTGTAATCTAAGGTGTCCCCACAGGTTTATGTAGCCTCCTGGCCATTTCTTACAGGGAACTTTTATATAGTAAGTAATTCACAGGCCTAGATTCTTTCATCCTCCCAGAATGACAGCCTAGGACATAAGGGGTTGTTTTTCTATCAGCAAGTGAACACACAATCCTGTCTCCTAACTGGGTAACTACAAGGTTCTCTTAGAGTAGCTCCAGATCCAAGGGCAGCCATTCAAAATGGCTACAGCCACACATTAGTGAGATGGGGGGAGGGGGGTGCCAATATACCAATTGGACTTCAAATAGTATTAAAGATGGAGAGTCTAGAAGTGGTTGCTTTCAGAAGTTTGGCAGACTTTGTAGGGAGAAAGCATTTCCAGTTCCCTAATGGGTGGGGCTGGGGAATAAGTTGAGAACCAGAAAATATTCCAACATGGAGAATAATCTTGGTCTTATCTTAGGCAAATAACCTTCACAGTATCTTTGCTTCTGAGAATCAAAACTTCTCCTCACCAAGATGCCACCTATGTAAGGAAATGACAGAGTACACACTTCATCATGGCCATGTAAGAAAAAAGAACATCTTGTCTATGACAGTATGCAGATGATAACCCCCCCAAAAAGCTTACCTACAATACTATGATTTGAAAATACAAAGGAGGAAAGGGAAAAGAAGGAGTTCTCTTTTGCATATTTGGAGTTTGAAATACTTGGGGAAAAAAATCCATGTAGACAATAAGCAGAGCAGTTGAAAAGACAAGTCTGAAGTTCATAAGCAAGGTGAATACTACAAATAAAAATCTGGTAATTATCTGAAAACAGTTGATATTAAACTTTTTGAATATCCTATTGTACTCAGCATAATGTTTTCCTATGGATACCAGAACTCAGCAGGATACAACAGCAACTAGTCAGCATGCCAGCTGGTAATTTATAAACTGCTAAGATAATTTATAAGGAGCTAAGAAAGAATCTAAGAAAATGCTGTATGATAAAAACACCTGGGAAGCTAAATACATTGGCATTTAAAACTGCAGAGATGCTGGGAAAGGTGGCTCATAACTATAATCCCAGCACTTTGGGATGCTTAGGCAGGTGGATCACTTGAGCCCAGGAGTTTAAGACCAGCCTGGGGAACATGGTGAAACCCCACCTCTGTCCAAAAAAAAAAAAAAAAAAAATTAGCCAGGCATAGTGGAGTGTGCCTATAAGTCCCAGCTACTCCGAAAGCAGAGGTGGAAGGATTGCTTGAGCCCAGGAGGTCAAGCCTTCAGTGAGCTGTGATCATACCACTGCACTCTAGTCTGCATGACAGAGCAAAGATCCTGTCTCAAAGAAAAGGCAGAGAGATTTAATATGGAGGAAGCAACTTTTCAAACACAAGATTCAAACATCTCTTTGTAACGTAACACCAAAGAAACAGGATATGAATGTGCTAGGTGAAAGACAGCAACTTACCAGCTAAAAGAAAGGAAAACGAGTAACAACAAACTTTGTTTAGTCCATCTGCGCTTCTGTAACAAAATATCTTGTACTGAATAATCTTTAAACAACAGAAATTTATTGCTTACAGTTCTGGAGGGTGGGAAGCCCAAGATCAAGGCACCTGCAAGTATGACATGAGGTAAGGACCTGTTACTCATAGATGGAGGCTTTTATGTACCCTCACATGGTGAAAGGGGCAAAAGGACTCCATTCCCTCAAGCCTCTTATAATGGCACTAGTCCCATTATGAGGATTACAGACTCCCAAAGGCCCATTATATTACTACTGGGCCAGATTCAAGGGATAAGATTTCAACACATGAATTTTAAAGGATAACAAATAGTCAGACCATAGCAAAACTACATGCCTAACTCAGAGAGGAATCATATCCTTTCACAGCAACAAAATAAAGTATAAATTCATGTCTCACAGCAATACAAATACTGTAACAGAGAGAATTCAGAGAAGACACAAGGAATTAGGCCAGGAAACACCTCAGAGACAACACAGAAGAAAGGTACCTAAATGACAGGGATCTCTCTAGTTCTGAAAAATACAGATTTTTTTTCTGTTTCTTTAAGATCAGGGCTTGGAGAAGGCTTACAGGATCCTCCTAAATAGTATGATCAGAAACTAAGAGTATAGAGATTACTTTATACAGACTTTACAGACAGACAAGCCTAGCCAACTACACTTCTTAGGTATCTTAATTTCAAGAGACTATCTTAAGCTAAGCTAATTGCCACAGAAAAGGTAGTAAAATAAATTCTTTTAATTAATTATGTCATTAAAATCTTTAGGAAATCAGACAATTGATTAAAAAAATCCTCAATAAAACAAGAATAAAGACTTCAAATTAAGATCTAAAGACCTTTCCTATGATTAAAAATACACGAAATTTTTAATAGAGACTTGAAAATACCTATTTTGCTAGCAAGCTCTATACTTTTTTGGTGTTGCTGGATGTTTTATGGAGCGTATCCTCAGGAAAACTGAGGTAATGCTATGGTGGTAAAATCATAATATGAACATTAGATCATCTAGATCAGCCTGTCCAAAAGAAATATAATGCAGTCTACTTATGTAATGCTAAATGTTCTAGTGACTACAATTAAAAGCTTTAAAAAACAGATTAAAAAAAATATATATATATATTTTTTTAAATAGAGATGGCATCTTGAGAGGCTGGTCTCCCACTCCTGGGCTTAAGCAACCCTCCCACCTAGACCTCCCAAAGTGCTAGCATTACAGAAGTGAACCACCATGCCCAGCCTGAAATGAATTTTAATAATTTATCTTATAAAATACAATTGAAATGTCACTTTGATAGGTAAACAAAAATTTTTCAATTACCAAGATAGTCTCTTTTTCAAATCAAGTTTTAAAATCTAGTACATATTTTATTCTTACAGCATATCACACGCAAGTCAAACCAGCCAGATTTGGGGTACTCAATTGACACATACGGTTACTGGCTACCATACTGGACAATACAGAACTACATTTTAGTAGGATATAAAGATATATAAATTAAGCTTTCAAATATTCCTGTTTACTAGATTTTTTAAAATCATAAAATACATTTACTAGTTTAAAAATAACCCTTTCTGGCTGGGCGCAGTGGCTCACACCCGTAATCCAGCACTTTGGGAGACTGAAGCAGGCCAATCACTTGAGGTCAGGAGTTTGAGGTCAGCCTGGCTGACATGGTGAAACCCCATCTCTACCAAAAAATACAAAAAGTAGCCAGGCACAGGGGCCCACACCTTTAATCCAAGCTACTTGGGAGGCTGGGGTCAGAGAATTGCTTGAAGCCGGGAGGCAGAGGTTGCAGTGGGCCAAGATTGTACCACTGCACTCCAGCCTGGGCGACAGAATGAGACCCTATCTCATAAATAAATAAATAAACCCTTTCTGTTTCTTCATTCTCATATGTCAGCCCCCAAAATATGCTAAAAAGCAAAATATGATTCCAAATAACAGAATATAGAAGGGAACAAATATGGTTGGATCGCCAAAGTTTTAAACTACATAAATAATGGTTCATTCAAAATTTAAATTAGCAACATTTTCCTCCTCAGTTAAAATGCAATCCTATTACGCTTGAGACTTACCTCCATAAATTCATCTCTGCCAAAGCCTTTGTGTTTTTAAAATGAAAAAAGAAAAGCACATTTAACACACAAGGGGAAAAAAAACTATCCTACTTCAACTTTAAAGCTATCAATTATTAACTTTCATCAAACAGATCTTTGACACTATACTAAACCATTTCTTCACATCTTTCTGGGTTTGCCACATGTACTTATTTTTAAAAAGTAACAGCTGCAGTAAAATTACAAAAAAAGTTTCTTTATAGAATTTGATATTTTCATATTTCTTAAATTTTAATTTTCTAAAATGTTGCTAGTTTAATGCTTTCTGAATCAAAGAGAGTTAACACAACCAAAGAATCATCTACATTTGGGGAAGGGAAGAATAAATCCTAAATAAAAGCATCTACTTTGTTATGCTACAAAGTACAAGTTGTATCTCATAATTTTTATTTTAGATATATAACTTACAGAATTACATTACAAAACCACAGAAGTAGAGAGAATTTAAATTATTATTCTTTTTTCCCCTTCCTCTCTCCATTCATAAATTATTATTCTTACAATTTTTCCTCCAGACTTACTAGTTGGTGGGGTGGTAGGACAGAACAGGAGGAAGAGCACTAGAGCTTACTGTTTGTCATTTTACTTTATTTAATCTTATTTTTCAGAAAGGGTCTTGCTCTGTCACCCAGGCTGAAGTGCAGTAGTATGATCAAAGTTCATTGCAACCTTGAATTTCTGGGCTCCAGCAATCCTCCCACCTGAGCCTCCTAGGTAGCTAGGACTATAGAAACATGCCATCACTCCCAGCTAATTCTTTTCTTTTTTTGTACTAATGGGGTCTTGCTATGTTTCCCAGGATGGTCTTGAACTCTTGGCCTCATACATTTCTCCCGCCTTGGACTTTCAAAATGCTGGGATTACAGGCATGAGTCATGCACCTGACCTTTAATTTTTACTAAAGTCAGAGAGGTGTTTTTCCACCAGGATTGTTCTCCTAAGCGAACAATCTCTACATATAAATACATATAAAACTCATTCTCTACATATAAACCATTCCCATGGATCCTGAGTTTTAATGATTTTTAAAAGCACACACACACCCCCCTCAAATTTTGAACCGAAAAGTTCAAATTTTTTTTTTTGAGACGGAGTTTTGCTGTTGTTACCCCGACTGGTGTGCAATGGCATGATCTCGGCTCACTGCAACCTCCGCCTCCTGGGTTCAAGCGATTCTCCTGCCTCAGCCTCTCGAGTAGCTGGGACTACAGGCGCGCACCACCATGCCCAGCTAATTTTTGTATTTTTAGTAGAGACGGAGTTTCACCTTGTTGACCCAGGATGGTCTCGATCCCTTGACCTTGTGATCCACCTGCCTCGGCCTCCCAAAGTGCTGGGATTATAGGCGTGAGCCACCAGGCCCGGCCTTAAGTTCAAATTTTTTTAGTACTTCCACACAAGAATAAAGAGTGACTTAAACTTCTGCTCCTTTTATTTCTTCAAGTTCTTGTCAAAATCTCTTTTCTGAACATCTTTAAACAACTCTAGTAATTATTCCTTAGTTGTCAACATATACATCAAACACATCTGGTGCTCTGGGGTAAACTGTGAATAATTTGGGAACAAGCAATTCATCTATACCCACACCTTGCCTACAACAACTTTAATATAGTGCTTTGTGTATATTGGTTACACAGTAATTATTGATCACAACCATAAAAACAAATTCAACTTTGGTCTTACAAAATCTATACCAGAAGTTATCTTTATTATAAACTACTTCATCTTTGTAATATAATAACCAATTGAACACTTAACACTCCTTTACACCCTTTAGAACTGTCTATAAGTGCTTTACTTTGTCAGTCCTGCCCCAGCTTCATGTCCCACTATTTTTCTATCATGTACCCCCTTTTGCTTTATTTAATGGTCCCTCTCATTTTCTTTTCTCTAAGTAGCTATTTGCTCATAATGGCCTTCACACAACCTAACACTCCATTTTGGTCTTTCAAGATCCTCTTCTAATTTCATCTTATCCAAGAAACTTTTTCTACATATTATTTTAAAAGACTATCTCTTCCCAAAACTTCTGACCAGGTGATTTGCTCAAAACCTTTAAAATGTAGTAAACGGGTAAAAAGTTAAAACTGAAACACACATACACACACACTAAACCCACATAAAGTTATCATCATGTGGCACATCCAGCTTTCCACCTTACCCATTGAGTGCTCAGAACAAAAGAAAACCTTTAAAAGGACTTTCTAGGGAATAATCTAGAAAGTCCTAGATTCTGCCACCAGCTGTGTGTGAACTGACATTAGATCCTATTCTATGGGACTCAATTAGGCCAGATTCAAAATCTACATCCTGTTCCCTGTGAATTTCCTTCAAGCTCCTGTTGTCTATCTCCATCTCAATAGGAAGGGACCAAGCCTGAGAACAGGTCTATTTAAAGTAAAAATTATCTCAGCAATAAAATTATGCAATTACTTCAATAATTACCTCAGCAGTAAATTTTTTTTAAAGCTAAGCAGAGGTAATGTTCAGAATATATTTATATATGGTATTAACTCCAATATCTAATTGTCATATAATATAAATCAATTTTTCTAATTCTATTCAGACTTCTTCCCATGCCAAAGAAAGTGTAAAACTTTATATGAAAAATTGTTGCATTCTTGCCATGATGAAATAACAGAGACTACATTTACCCTCTTTCCTGAAACAACCAAAAAAAGATTGAACAAAATATATTAAATCATATCAAAACAATGTTCAAGACTTTAGGCTGGGTGCAGTCACTCATGCCTATAATTCTAACACCCTGGGAAGCCAAGGCAGGCAGATTGCTTCAGCCCAGATGTTTGAGACCAGCCTGGGCAACATGGAGAAGCCCCATCTCTATAAAAAAATACAAAAATCGGCCGGCACGGTGGCTTACGCCTATAATCCCAGCACTTTGGGAGGCCAAGGCGGATCACGAGGTCAAGAGATCGAGACCATCCTAGTCAACAAGGTGAAACCCCATCTCTACTAAAAATACAAAAATTAGCTGGGCATGGTGGTGCATGCCTGTAGTCCCAGCTACTCGAGAGGCTGAGGCAGGAGAATTGCTTGAACCCAGAAGGCGGAGGTTGCGGTAGGCCAAGATCGTGCCATTGCACTCCAGTCTGGGTAACAACAGCGAAACTCCGTCTCAAAAATAAAAAAAATACAAAACTTAGCCAGTTGTGGTGGCACACACTTGTAGTCCCAGCTATTCGGGAGGCAGAGGTGGAAGATCACCTGAGACCAGGAGGTCAAGACTGCGGTGAGCTGTGATTGCACCATTACACTCCAGCCTGGGCAACACAGTAAGACCCTGTCTTAAAAATTAAAAAAAAAAGATTTTAGACAACAGACAGCATTGGAAAAGAATTCCTGAGACTCAGGACATAAGTAAGGTAAACTCCATGACTGCCATCTTAACCACCTTGAAAATTCAGTTTCTGGGCCCTGTAAAAGGTGGGGAAAAGTGAGATACAGCTTTGTGTGCTCCCTGAATTGAGGAGATGAGGAAGAAAGTCATGGCAAGTCAGACAAGCCACATTTCAGGTACTCAATGGCAGTGAGACCAAGGTGGCTAGAGTTCATAGGACACGACCAGAGATAAAAGAACTATACAAAGATCTTCAGAGATTAGTAGATCTCCATCAAATATTTAGCTGGGAACTGATCAATGCATTCATGTACAGAAACTACCCATAGCCAGAGAAGCAACCACCAGGAAAGACTAGATGTAACCATGGCTACATTCACACAAGGACAGAGAATTACACCTATCCCCACCAGCCAGACTGGAAAAGCTAGTGTTTCAAGACAAATCAGGTAGAACACACTCTACCTCAGTAGTGGGGAATAGTAGTCCTAGGCTCTGCATTACTCTAGAGCAAATTCTTTTGAAGCAATTTAACTGCATACCAGAACAAAATTCAATATTTATAGGAAAACAGAAAATAATCAAACACGACAAAATAAAATTCCCAATGTCAGGTATTCAATCAAAAATTATCAGGCTTCAAGACCAGCCTGAGTCACACGGTGAAACCCCATCTCTACAAAATATATAAAAATTAGCCAGGCATGATGGCGCACACCTGTAGTCCCAGCTACTTGGGAGGCAGAGGTGGGAGGATCACCTGAGCCCAGGAAGTCAAGGCTGCAGCAAGCCATGATCAGGCCACTGTACTCAAGCCTGGGTAACAGAGTGAGTGAGATTTTATATATAAAAAAAAAATCAGGCACACAAAGCAGAAGAAAGGTATAAACAATAATGAAGGAGGGAAAATCAATCCATCAAAACCCAGAATTAACTCAAATGTTAGAACTGCCCATGTTTTTAAATTATTGTTTCCAGCTTTATCAAAGACATGTTTGAAAAATAAAAAACATCCAGCTGGTGAGACCACATGCTGCTGGCATAGTAGACCAGATGCTGACGGTCCCAACAGGGGAGCTCAGGGTTGCCCAGCACCCACAGTGCACAGGATGGCCTGGCAGCAGAGGGAACCAGCCCAGGAGGTCAGGAATGCAGCGGGCAGAGGCCCTGTGTAGACCACCTCCATTCAGCTCAGATATCTGCACCAGTTGCCTTGTTGCCTCCGCTCAGGATGAAAGAGGAGCTGAGAGAAATGCTCAGCCCACCAGTGCAGTGCCCAGGCCCAAGGCTCTGGAGAGTGCTCAGGTGGGTCTCCTGGAGCCATGGGCAGAGATTGGTGCAGAACCCACCCTATAGCATACACCTGCCACAGTGAAGTCCAGGGTGATGACACCTGTGTGTCCATGATGGGCCTAGGAAACCAGAACAGGGGCAGAGGGGCATCCCCCTACCTCAGATCCGGAGAGCTCAGACCCGAGAAGGGAAGCTCCGCGGCTTTGGTGGGGTGTGCTCCGCCCAATGTCAGGAGCCCTTTCTGCATGTGTCCACACAGATCTCGTCCCAGTGTGGCAGGAAGGGGTGCTGCTTAGGGCTGATTGTTGGGGACACGACTAGGTTCAGAGG